CCCCAAAACCCCAAAACCCCAAAACCCCAAAACCCCATAAATTATAAAATTTATTGAAAATAGTGAAAGTAGGTCTTTCAGTCAGAATTTTTAGATGGAAACCCAAGAAGTATCAGCCCTCGTTTTCAACGAGCTCAAACAAGTCTCGAATAACGACGAATGATTTGACTGTGGTAAGCATGCTTTGGTTATGAATTTAGGCGCTAGAAATCCACAATGGGCCTCTATAAATAATGGCATCTTTATTTGTATCAACTGAGTTGGTATTCATAAAGGCCTCGGAGCCCATCTCTCCTTTGTTAGGTCAGTAAATCTTGACGAATGGAACGAGAGACAACTCAAATGTATCAGCGTTGGAGGTAATTCCAAGCTGAAGGAGTTCTTCGAGATTTATGACCTTGATAAAGAGACTATTGATGTCAAGTACAGCACCAAAGTTGCTGATTATTACAGGAAAAAGGTACGCATAGTTCTCTAACTTCACAGCTTAAAGCATGTGCCATTGATCATGAATATGACGCACCACTTCCTGAGTACTCAGCAGGCCGTGAACAGATAGATTATGAAGAATCTGATGAATCTTCATCACTTGGACTACAACTGAAAGAAGAAATGAAAGAGCACGAGAATGCTGGTGAACAGGAAGAAGTCAAAGAGGCAGGTGCTCCTAAGAAAGAAGAGTATGTTCACAACTAATCTCTCTAGCAAAGCCAGAGCCTCAACTCTGCTGTCAAAAATGATGACAACTTCTCTCCAGGTTAAGAACAAAAGCGTTCATATTATTGGTGTAGGAACAAAGTCAGCTTACAATGTTGCCAAGGCTGCTGTCGGAGGTGCAGCCACACTCGGCAAGAAAGGCTATGTTGCTGGTAAAGAAGGCGCTGTGTACGTTGGCAAGAAGGGATACGAAGCTGGAAAGATAGGCTATACCGCTGGTAAGGAAGGAGCTGTATTTGTTGGCAAATAAGGGATACGAGGTTGGAAAAGATACCTACACAAAAATCTCAGAAAATGAAAAAGTTAAATCTATTGGAGGAGCTGTATACTCAAAGACTAAGGGCGCTGCTGGTGTCGCAACCAGTTTTCTGTCATCCTTAGTAGGCAAAAAGAAAGTTGCTTATGTTGAAGATAGTGGTGAACATGAGTCTGGTGGGGCTAATCCACCCCCTGCTCAAAAAGATGAGGGAGCTGATCACTTGTTGCCAGAAACAAGTAATATTGAGGAAAAGAAAGAGTAGTTTTTAAGTGAATTCAACTTGATTTTAACATAAAGGGGTTTTGGGGTTTTGGGGTTTTGGGGTTTTGGGGTTTTGGGGTTTTGGGG